CCTCCAACTCCTGGAGTGAACATCTGCTCCAGCTGCGACGTCTGTTCTCCAAGCTCCTGACAGCCGGCCTCACCATCAACCTGGGCAAGTCCACTTTCGCGAAAGGTAAAGTGCGTTATCTGGGTCATGTTATTGGGAGTGGCAGCATAGCTCCGTTAGACTCACACACTCAAGCCATCCAACAGTATCCACAGCCTACCACCAGGAAGCAGCTCCTGCGCTTCCTTGGTCTTGCCTCTTACTACCGTAGGTTTGTGAGGAATTTCAGTACAGTCGCCACACCTCTAATTCTATTAACCAGTCCCAAGCAACGGTATAATTGGACCATGCAGCAAACCGTTGCTTTCGAACAACTCAAATTCCTCCTCTGTTCTAACCCCATTCTCGCCTCTCCAGATATCACCAAGCCTTTCGTCCTTCATGTCGACGCCAGTGGTACCGGCGTTGGTGGTGTCCTGATGCAACAACGAGGCGAGGAGGTTCTACCTGTCAGCTACTACAGCTACAAACTGAAACCACACCAGAGGAACTACAGCACTATTGAAAAGGAGCTACTATCCATCGTCCTGAACCTCCAACACTTCGCTCCGTACCTACAAGGCGCCAGGTCTACCACCATCTTCTCAGACCACAACCCTCTCCGCTTCCTACATCAAGCCCAATTCACCAACCAGCGTCTTCTACGATGGGCTCTGTATTTACAAGACTTCAACCTGGAGATCCGCTATATCAAGGGTTCTGACAACACCATAGCCGATGCCCTCTCCAGAGTTTATGAAGTAGAAGCGACTCCATCCATTACTCCACCACATAACGACGTACTTCTTCCAGAACCGCAGGCTTCGGGGGAGAGTTGTGACGATAATCTCCTTCAAGAGATTGAGCCTGCTCTTCCCTCCACAATTACGTCGTAGAAATTATATAAAACTACTAGGGAAGAAATGTCCAACAACGACAACAACACCAGCAAGGTTTGCCAGAGCGCAAAACGTTGCAGCCAGAGACACCTGTTCAGACTCAAACCGCCAAACTACCTGTTGATCGCTACCGGCTCCGCTGATTGGTCGCCGGCCGGGCTGCAACTGCACTCGCCCCCCCCAAACTACTTGATGTCTGGGGTCGCCACGACCTCAGACCTCAGAATATTCAGTGCTTTCGTGGTTACCACTACTCCCGGCTAGACGTTAGCGTGTACTGAGAGAGGTGGTAGCTTAAAGCCAATATTCCAGCACCTTCCCTTTATTTTGTGTTGCACTTCTTGTTATTTTATCTTAACGTAACTTTTCATTGTGTCATTTAATTATTCTTATTATTTTGATTGATTGATTTTATTATACAAATTTGTTTGTCCATTTTTTCATGTTTTGATTTATTTAACGTAATTAAAATTTCATTGTTAAAGTTTACTTGTGTTTTGTGTGTCTTCTCCTTACCTTACCACAGACGAAGTTCCAGTTTTTCTATTTTTTTTTATAACTATGTGACGAGGCCATACCCCTAGCCTTAAACAGCCGAACACCAACGCGATACCGTCACAACTCAGTTTCTATGATCGAGCCACAGAGATATTACATGAAAGAGATGGTTGGGTTGACTGCATCTATCTGGACCTAAAAAAGGCTTTCGACAGAGTTCCACATAAGAAGTTGTTCTGGAAACTGGAAAATATTGGAGGGGTGACAGGTAAGCTTCTAACATGGATGAAAAATTTTCTGACTGATTGATTACTGCCCTCATTTTTCTGAGGCAATGTATTGGTCTGGAGAAATGTCCCAAGTGGAGTACCACAGGGTTCAGTTCTTGCACCAGTGATGTTTATTGTCTACATAAATGATCTACCAGTTGGTATACAGAACTATATGAACATGTTTGCTGATGATGCTAAGAAAATAGGAAGGATAAGAAAATTAGATGATTGTCATGCCCTTCAAGATGACTTGGACAAAATAAGTATATGGAGCACCACTTGGCAAATGGAATTTAATGTTAATAAATGCCATGTTATGGAATGTGGAATAGGTGAACATAGACCCCACACAACCTACAAATTATGTGAGAAATCCTTAAAGAATTCTGATAAAGAAAGAGATCTATGGGTGGTTCTAGATAGAAAACCCCTGAGGACCACATAAAGAACGTTATGCGAGGAGCCTATGCCATGCTTTCTAACTTCAGAATTGCTTTTAAATACATGGATGGCGAAATACCAAAGAAATTGTTCACGACTTTTGTTAGGCCAAAGCTAGAATATGCAGTGGTTGTGTGGTGCCCATATCTTAAGAAGCACATCAACAAACTGGAAAAGGTGCAAAGACATGCTACTAAGTGGCTCCCAGAACTGAAGGGCAAGAGCTACGAGAAGAGGATAGAGGCTTTAAATATGCCAAAACTAGAAGACAGAAGAAAAAGAGGCGATATGATCACTACATACAAAATAGTAACAGGAATTGATAAAATCGACAGGGAAGATTTCCTGAGACCTGGAACTTCAATAACAAAAGGTCATAGATTTAAACTAGTTAAACACAGATGCCGAAGAAATATAAGAAAATTCACTTTCGCAAACAGAGTGGTAGACGGTTGGAACAAGTTAGGTGAGAAGGTGGTGGAGGCCAAGACCGTCAGTAGTTTCAAAGCGTTATATGACAAAGAGTGCTGGGAAGATGGGACACCACGAGAGTAGCTCTCATCCTGTAACTACACTTAGGTAATTATGCACACACACACATACACTGAGAGCTGAGAGGTATGAGCTACGAGGAGAGACTACAGGAGTTAAACCTCACGTCGCTGGAAGACAATCACCACATACAAGATTCTCAAAGGAATTGATAGGGAAGATAAGGACATTCTATTTAACACAAAGGGGACATGCACTAGGAGACAGGTGGAAATTGAGTGCCCAAATGAGCCACAGAGATATTAGAAAGAACTTTTTTAGTGTCAGAGTGGTTGACAAATGGAATTGATGTATATACATCAATTCACCACATCATTAGGAAATGATGTGGTGGAGGCAGATTCCATACACAGTTTCAAATGTAGATATAATAGAGCCCAGTAGGCTCGGGAACCTGTACACCAGTTGATTGACAGTCGAGAGGCGGGACGAAAGAGCCAGAGCTCAACCCCTGCAAGCACAAATAGTTGAGTACAAATAGGTGAGTACACATGAAATGAAAGTGACGTCACTTTCACTTCATATGTATGGGTTGATTTATATGCAAATTAAATAAATTAATTTGACAATAGTGGAAATAAATCATTGCTTCACAAAAACAGTGTACAGTTCTGTATGGGATTGGCAATCATCTAAATTCTGGTAATCCAAATAAAATTTGTGTTCATCATTCACTGGTAAAATGCGCTGAGTAACCAGATAAATGATACACGTGCACTGAGAAACCAGGTACATAATGGAAATGTGCTGGCAAATGCCAGAAGTAACCAGGTTGTGGGTAATTTTCAGACATTCTTGGCTAACTCAAACGTTTGCACAACTCAAATTGAGGTAGGCTGCACATGATTTGGATTACCAAGCATAGACAGTATCTCAAATATTGGGTAACTTGTCATTGCTTGCATAACAACTTGCAATATAAATGAGAACTATTGTATCTACACACTGTATATTGTGATAACTACTTTCCAAATAATAACAAATTTTAGTTAACAGTAAAGCCTCTGCTTTTTAAAAGCTATCTTAATGGGATAATAAATGATACCATGAGAACAAAGAAATTCATAAAAACCGAGATGGACAGCACAGAAAAACCACTTTCAATGTAATGAAACGGCTATTTCTGGCAGAGCCCCAAGTGTCTCCTTGAAGCTATCTGACCGATATGGCTCCCCACTACTATGTTACATCAGTAGCAGGAGTCATTTTTAACCTACCAGGGACCAGAGCCACAACTTAGCCTCCTCAAAGATGTGCAAAGAGTAGGAGACTATTATCGTAACCCTTACCGGGAGAGCATCCAGAAAATCGGCTAAGCTTTACAGACAACTGCAAAGTTCACAGAAAATTAAGCATCCAAACAGCCAAAAAGACTCTACCAAAAATTAAAACAAGTGGAAGTGGTTCACTTGTTTTGGCCTCTAGAGAGTAGCATGAAGCTCCCCAATGCTGCAGCCGGAGGCAAGAGCTAACAAAAACAACACTGAGAAATATTCTCTAACCAAACGGGCAACCATAAACTGAGGAGATGAAAGAAAAGCCAAAACCATGCTGAGAGACTAAGATGGCTCAGGAGAAGCATAAGCTAGCCAGAGGTGAAAGAAAACCCTAGACAACTTGCAGTATGACACCAGACCCATATTGACACCAAACACAAGAAACAGCAGCTCTGCCATTTCCAAACTATAAGCTAACAGTATTAGGCATGACATCCTGTTCCAAAAACAACCATGACAAAAAATCCATACAAAAGGAACAGAACCACTGGAATAGACACAGATGACAATGGGGTAGAAAGAGGCAAAACAAATGCCAATAAAAATCTTAATGACACATGAAAGAGATGCAGGTGGGACACCAACAACCCAACCACCTGCTCACCACGTAAATGGTGATAAACCAGTGTCTGAAATTCCAGACACATACAGCAGACCAGATATCAGCTCCATAAGCCTCTATGAGGGGGCAAGGTTCTCACTCTGGTTTCTGGTAGGCCAAACAGGACTCACATGGGTTGACCTCGTCCAATAGTGGGAAGCCATTTCAGCGAGATGGTTCAGGGAACCACTAAAGGGCTCCTCCCAGAAAATTCTTTGACTCGACTTATACATGCATGCATATATTATACAATCATTTGCTCACCCCAAACACACAAAGCAGGTAAACACCCATTGCTAATGGCAAATATTGAGCAGACAAATAATGCTGTACAGTGCATATTTTGAAAGGCTTTGTACTGTATAGTATTTGATATCCTGTTAAATGTACACGAACCCATTGTGTGTGACTACAATATACATGAAGGTGATTTTAATCTTACCATAACTGGCATGTTTGAGAGAGCAATATATCCCTCTGATGGTCGGACAATGGTGATGTTGTAGGTAGATTTGAAGCTGGGCTCGTCAAGGCACGGAAAAGCACGACGTGCGTATGTTGGCTCAAACTTTGTTGTGGCTAAACCCCTGAGAAGAAAGGGACATTTACGACGGTTAGGTACCATACCTGCACTTTCCTTGCCTTTGACATGACTTATCTTAAACATAGAAACTGAATGATCATAAACAACCATAACACATGTTTGAAGATTCAAATTCAAATTTTTATTCAGGATAAGTACATACTGTACATAGATGATGAGTTACAAACATAATGTTGGATTTAAAGACAGAGCTAGTACATACAATACCTAAAGCCACTAGTATGCATAGCGTTTCGGGCAAGGTGGGGGAGTAACACTTAGACTAAAACTTAATGGTAATTGAGCTTAAAGTATAGATTGTGTTAAAAAAAAAAAAAAAGGGGATCAACAAACAGCATTATTTTAAGTAGCAAGACATGGGTTGACATTTAAGGGTAAGGTAAGTTACATGGAGTTAATTAGGTAGTACTTAGTTTTTATCTTAAACTGGTTGAGAGAGGTACAGCCTTTAACATGGTTGGGAAGGTCATTCCACATTCTGGGTCCCTTGATTTGTAGAGCATTTCTAGTTTGATTAAGTGGAATATCTCTTGGAATATCAAATAGGAATTTGTTTCTGGTGTGGTGCCCATGGGTTCTGTTACAACCTTCTAAGAAGCTTTTAAGGCCTTGATTGACATTACAGTTCAGAGTTTTAAATATATAGAGTACACATGAGAGGATGTGCAGTGACCTAATATCTAAAATTTTTCAGAGATTTGAGTAAGGGTACTGAGTGACGTCTGGGGCCAGAGTTAGATATTGTTCTAATAGCAGCTTTGTGTTAAGTAATTAGAGGACGTAAATGATTTTGGGTAGTAGAACCCCAAGCACAAATACCATAGTTGAGAGAAGGATAGAGGAGAGAGTAATAGAGCATCACCAGGGCATGGCGAGGTACAAAATATCTGATCTTAGAAAGAATACCAACAGTTTTAGAAACTTTTTTTGCTATATTTAGAATGTGTCCCTGGAAATTCAGCTTGTTATCGATGAGGACACCAAGGAATTTACCATCAACTTTGTTACTAATTTGGATATTGTTTATTCTTAGATTAATTTCAGTTGAGGATTTATTACCCAACAAAATATAGAAAGTTTTGTCAATGTTGAGGGTGAGTTTGTTGGCAGTTACCCAAAGATGGACTTTATTTAGTTCAGTATTCACAGTGACATTTAGAGCAATGGGGTCAGGACTGGAGAAAATGAACGTTGTGTCATCAGCAAATAAGATTGGTTTGAGGTATTTTGAGGCATTTGGAAGGTCATTAATGTAGATGAGAAAGAGGAGAAGGCCAAGTATGCTGCCCTGTGGAACACCAATGTTGATGGGTAGGGTGGGAGAAGTGGAATTATTCACAGAAACATACTGGAGCCTGTCAGCAAGGTAAGATTGAAGGTATTGCAGGGCGTGACCTCTGACTCCATAATAATGTAATTTAGAAAGAAAGTTTGGTGGTTGAGTATCAAAAGCCTCATCAATCATCACAATAGATGATGAGTCACATTAACGTGGCTGAAGATATGATGACCAAACCATACACCAGAAGATGAAGAGACAACAACATTTCAGTCCATCCTGAACCATCACAATCAACTTGATAATGGTTCAGGACAGACTGAAACATCGTCGCCTCCTCATCTTCTGGCGTGTGATTTGGTCATCATAACACATGTTTCTCTGTCACGACACACCATGGAAGAATTTCCCTATCCTATGTTCAATTCAAATAATACTGCATTATGCACAATGAATTCACAATAATATTATGTATCTGTGAGAAGGTTGGGGCCCTGCAATGGGATTGAACATGCATTCTTGGTGGCTCCCCAGACACCCCACTACACCTACTGGACAATGGCAAGCTCAACAGTATCTCTCTCAGAAGTACTAACAGACTCCAAGTAAGCGCGATAGTACTTCTAGTTGACATACTCTTGAGCTCATCACATTCCTAGTGAGTCCAGGGATGTGGGTTTGATCCCATCACATGGCCTCAGTATTTCCTCAACACTGTATCAAGAAATATTCATAAAAACACAAATAGTGCCCAACTCGTGCAATAACCAATGTTAAGAAATTACTAAAAATAGAAATGACACGAATAAAGTACTGTATAAGAACATAAGAATGAAATTAAAAGTGAGTGTGGATGAAATAGCCTTCTGGAAGTATATAAACGCATGAAAGTGTATAAGAAAGGGGGATTTTAAATTTATAAAATTTATAAATAGGATTTTAAATTTATCAACATACAATAGAACATGATACAATGGATATAAATTGGATAAGTATAGACTTAGGAAAGACCTGGATAAGTACAAGTTTGGAAACAGGGTTGTTGATTTGTGGAACAGATTACCAGGTAACGTAGTAAACATTGATTCCTGGATTGTTTCAAATGCAAGTTTGATTTCACATACTACTGTACTCCAAAAATTTGTTCCTAGGTATACCAGGGTCTCGTAGTACATTCTTGACTCGCAATCAGAAATCTTGGGTTCGATTCCTCGATGTGACAGAAATGGTTGGGCACCTTTTCTTTCACTTAATTCTTCTGTTCCTTTAGCATCAAATAATTACCTGGGGTATTAGGAAACTGTTGTGGGTTGCTTTCTGTGGAGGGTCAGTAGTTCAACATTGGGAAGAACTTCAATACAAGCCACAAGTATATACTGTACAGTATATACACAGGCTTCGTTCACAACAAATAGAATTATTGTTATTCTCATAGTGCACAACATGGCTTCCGAGGGTAAAAGTCATGCTTAATAAACTCTACTGAATTCTATGAAGGAGTCACTAAAATAAGACAAGAGAAGGAAGGATTGGTAGACCATATTTTCCTAGACCTGGCAAGAAGCTTTCAACACAGTTCCTCACAAAAAAACTGATACACAAGATGGAGAGACAAACGAGGATAACAAGAAAGGCACTGGACTAGGTATGAGAGTTCTTGGTAGGCAGGAAACAATGGATCATAGTCAGAGAGGATATGCCAGGATGGAGAGGAGTGGACAGTGGTATTCTACAAGGCTCTATCCTAAGACAATTGCTGTTTTTAATTTATATAAATGACCTCCCAGAGGGGGTGAGCTCGTAAATGTCTGTGTTTGCAGATGATGCAAAGTTAATGAGGAGTGTAAGAACTGAAGAAGACCTTGACAAACTTCAGGAGTGGACTGATAAATGGTTGCTGGAATTCAATCCAAATAAGTGCAAAGTAATGAAAATAGGTAAGGAAGACAGGAGACCTGTATTTAACACTACCATAAGGGGAAGGCAATTACAAGAAACAATAAGACCTGGGAGTAGAGAATCTCATCACTAACACCAGAAGCTCATGTGAACAGGATAACCAAAAGCTCATGTGGACAGGATAACCAAAAGCTCATGTGGACAGGATAACCAAAAGCTCATGTGGACAGGATAACATCAACACCATATAGCAGGTTAGCAAACACTGACTCACAACAACACGGCTGAAGATGATGGTTAAACCATACATGTGACCCTCAGTTTCACGATCCTGAATTTTTGTTATTTACAAATCTTTCTCTTGCCTTCCCAGGGTCCCAGTATTTCCTGGGGAGGAAATACTGACCCTTCCCAGGATGCAACCCCACAACAAACTAACTCCCAGGTACCTATTCCTTGCTAGTTGGACAGGGCGCATTTGGTGACAGAGACGCCTAACCATTTCTGTCTCGCCCAGGATTCGAACCAGGATTTTGGAATGTGGGTCGAGAATGAACCCGACTGTACTACTGGAACCCTTAATACACATGACACATGAAGAGTGTGTGTGTGTGTCTGTATGGGTGTACTGTGTGGATGGGAAGAGTGGGTGATTTGGTGTGCGAGAGTGGATGGGAGAAGGGGTGATTTGTTGCGTGTGGGTGGAAGTGATTTGTTGTACGAGAGTCAGGTGGTGATTTGTTGCACGAGGGTTGATGGGGCTAATTTGTTGCACGAGGGTTGATGGGGCTAATTTGTTGCACGAGGGTGGATGGGGCTAATTTGTTGCACGAGGGTGGATGGGGCTAATTTGTTGCACGAGGGTGGATGGGGCTAATTTGTTGCACGAGGGTGGATGGGGCTAATTTGTTGCACGAGGGTGGATGGGGCTAATTTGTTGCACGAGGGTGGATGGGGCTAATTTGTTGCACGAGGGTGGATGGGGCTAATTTGTTGCACGAGGGTGGATGGGGCTAATTTGTTGCACGAGGGTGGATGGGGCTAATTTGTTGCACGAGGGTGGATGGGACTAATTTGTTGCACGAGGATGGGTGTGGGGTGATCTGAAGCACGAGGCACAGATCGTGTAGAAGGGCAGATAGAGTAATAAGCATTATAATATGATAGTTGAGCCTAAGTCTAGTAAAGGAACACTGATCAAATAGGTAGTCAACTCTTGGAAGCCACTATATAAGGCTCAAGGGCGTAGTGGTATTATGTTATAATGGCTAAAAATGACTTCATGATGCTACGCTCCAAATAACACTCATCCATAAGTGCCGTAGGTTTTAAGTCAAAATTATAGCTTTCCAAATCTTCCATAAACCTTAAAGAGAACATGCTTCAAAACCAAACCATAACGGGATCTATTATAAGCTAGATATTTGTCAATATCTTCTATGATAATTAATTTGTTGACTTTTAAAAAGATCACCCAGCACTTAAATTATATAAAGATTACTAACCTTGAATTTCCTTCTGCATCAGTATATTCAGAATAATAAAATCCCAAAATGCCTTTCTGGAGAGATCCTGTATACGTAGTTGTGATCTGGAACCTTCCCGGCTCCACATCATCAGTTCTGATTACCCAGAACTCGTTTGGCTTATACTCAAATACCTCAATAATGGGAACATCCTGAAAACAAAATAACAATGCAAGAAACAAGATATTTCAACCCCTTAAATGTGCAGTTAATAATAATTAAAAAAAAAGTTTATTCAGGTAAAAGTACATACATTTAAAATGAGTTACAAAACAGAATGTTGAATTTCTTGATAGAGCTAGTACATACTATGCCTAAAGCCACTAATACGCACAGCATTTCGGGCAAGGTGTGGGAAAAACACTTAGACTAAAATTTAAAACTAATTGAGATCAAAGCATAAATTGAATTGAAAAAAGGAAAAAGCCAGCATTGAATATAATGAAACGCCATTTTCAGGGTGAGCCCCGGAAGCTCCCTGGAGCTTCTCAGGCTAATATACTTTATATTAGACCGGGACATTAGCTACAGATTTCGCAAAAGCTTTTGATAAATGTGACCATGGTGTTATTGCACATAAAATGCGTTCAAAAGGAATTACCGGGAAAATAGGCAGATGGATCTACAATTTCCTGACTGACAGAACCCAATGTGTAATAGTCAACAAAATACAATACAGTCCATCAACCGTGAAGAGCTCAGTCCCCCAGGGTACTGTGCTTGCTCCAGTACTTTTTCTCATCCTCATATCGGACATAGACCAGAACACAACCTATAGCACTGTATCATCCTTTGCAGATGACACTAGGATTTTCATGAGAGTTGGCAACATAGAGGACACGGCAAACCTCCAATCAGATGTTGATCAGGTCTTTCTATGGGCTACAGAAAATAATATGGTATTCAACGAGGATAAGTTTCAGCTCATGCGCTACGGAAAAATTGAAAACATAAAAACAGGAACCACGTACAAAACGCAGGCAAATCATAACATAGAACGAAAAGGCAATGTAAAGGACCTGGGTGTACTCATGTCGGAAGACCTTACCTTTAAAGAACACAATAAAGTAGCCGTCACAACTGCAAGAAAAATGACAGGTTGGATAACAAGAACTTTTCACACTAGAGATGCTATACCGATGATGATACTTTTCAAAACGCTTGTGCTATCTAGAGTGGAGTACTGCTGCACAATGACAGCCCCTTTCAAAGCTGGAGAAATTGCTGACCTAGAGAGCGTGCAGAGATCCTTTACTGCTAGAATCCACTCAGTAAAACATCTAAATTACTGGGACCGACTAAAGAGCCTAAATCTGTACTCCCTTGAGCGCAGGCGGGAGAGATACATAATAATTTACACGTGGAAAATAATTGAGGGGCTGGTCCCAAACCTGCACACAGAAATAGCACCACATGAGACCAGAAGACATGGCAGGATGTGCAGAATACCCCCGTTGAAAAGCAGAGGTGCAACAGGTACTCTGAGAGAGAACTCTATCAACATCAGAGGCCCGAGACTGTTCAACACGCTTCCACTACACATAAGGGGCATAACTGGCAAACCCCTCACAGTGTTCAAGAGAGAACTGGATAAGCACCTCCAAAGGATACCTGATCAACCAGGCTGTGACTCATACGTCAGGCTGCGAGCAGCCGCGTCTAACAGCCTGGTTGATCAGTCCAGCAACCAGGAGGCCTGGTCGACGACCGGGCCGCGGGGACACTAAGCCCCGGAAGCACCTCAAGGTAGCCTCAAGGTATGGAGTTCAGACCTAACAGGGACCAGAGCCAGAACCTGACCCCTTCAGAGAGGTTCAGGGAGCAATGGCCCTGGAAAACCCTCCTGTGGTTGGGGGTTTTCCTTATCAGCCATCGATCGGGGTTAGGCACCCAGAAACGTAGGCATAAGAAAACAAACCCCACATGGTAAGAAAATAACAACAAAAACCGAACAGAGGTAGACACTCCCCACAATCCCAAGGAAACAAGCAAACAACCAAACGTAACACACTACTGTACTGCCATACCGCTCATCCACACGGACCTCACCACGCCGGCTGCATAGCACTCCAGTTCGGAAGCTAAGCTTCAACCAACACGAAAAAAACGCTGATCGGTGGGAGGGAGGGTTGCCAGGGAGCCTCAGGGGCTCACCCAGAAAATGGCATTTCATTACATTCAATGCTGGTTTTTTGAGGGAAGCCCCTACTGCTCCCTGGAGCTACATACCCAAAGAGAAGGAAAAGAGAGAGCTGAACTAGGAGGTGGCGGCCACAAACTCCGCAACGCGAAGTCAAGACAACAGGCTGCAACCTGCGACCCAAAGCAACACAAGAACGCCCAGGAGCAGACACGCCCACAAAATAACGAGCGGCCAGGATCCTGTGCGACCTCCAAATCCACGCGCACGAATATGAGCCCCAAGACATGTTACCAAATACGGCAGCCAAAGCTGCAAACAGCCGAACAGCACGGGCACGAGGATAGACCACAGGCTGGCTAGACTGAAGAACCCCGCGGACGACTTAGGAGACCCGAGCCCAGGAACAGGCAACAAGGGAAATCATATCAATCCAAAACGCATCCCCCAGTCACCATAACCGAGGCACGCAGGTAACGACAAAGAGCCACAACCGGACACAACACTTGATACACCCTTAGCCGAACCAACCAAACATCAATGACCCAAGGACCCCTCCGGAAAGCAGCCATTTTGGTCTTTGCCAGAAAAGACGGAGAACGTTGCAAACATACAAACCTACCACCAGTACCAAAAGAGCAGGAACCCCTGCACCAGAGGAGAGCAGGAAGTTCCTCGACCCGACTCCTAGAGGCCAATGCCAACAAAAACAGGGCTTTGGAAAAACAATCTTGAACCAAAGGGGCCACCATAAACCAAGGAAAGATAAGAGTGCACCCTGACCAAGGACCAGGACAGCTCAGGCAGCGCATGAGCAGGCCGGAGGTGAAACAAGCACAAGAAAGCATATGGAACGGGGCGGATGTGATGTCCGCCCCGAACGCAAGCTGGAGCGGCTCCACCAGCACTGCACGATACGAGGCGACAGTAATGAGCATCAAATGACAGTCCTGAAAAAACCAAGAAAGGACAAGACAACCCAATCTGAAAGAGAAGACAACCTACGAAGAGCAAGAAAAGGGCAAAAAGAAACGCCAGGAAACTGCATACGGTCGCTGAGACGAAGCTCGCAGGTGGGACACCATCAAGGAAGCCACCTGATCACCATAGAGATGGTGAAACACCCGCGTCAAAAAGACCAGACGTGAAGAGCTGAGGAGAAGGTTGAACCAACCACATACAGACTGGTCCGACCTGCCGAAAGAGGCGGAGCCGCGGGAAACGCCCCGGGTTCGGACACCGAGCAAACAGTGCCAGAAAACAAAGCTGGGTCGGCCACCAAAGGGCCACGAGGTCACCTCTCCCTGGGAAAGACTCCAACCGAGCCAGAACCTGAAGCAACAGCTGGACCGGGGGGAAAGCGGTACAGGTAACTTCACCTTGACCAGTCCTACCGAAAGGCATCCACCGCAAACGCCTCCCAAGCGGGAAAGGGCACCACATAGAATGGGAGACGCCGAGACCATGCCGACATGAAGACGTCCATGTCCGGGAGTCCGTACGTCCGGCAGAGCCAACGAAACAAGTCAGCGTTGACCGTCCATTCCGTGAATATAAGAATGAACCGAGACAGGACGTCCGCCAGGACGGTGGACACTCCCCAGACATGAACCGCACGGAGAGCCAAACCCCGAGAATTGAGCAAATGAGCCACTCGAAGGAACCAACCCCAAAGAGGCAAAACCGAAGAGAACCCCCGTGGTTCCGGCAAAGAACCATCGGAGAACAGTCCAAATGGAGCCGGATAATAGAGCCCCGAGTGATCCGAACCCTCCAAAGCGCAAACCAGACCGCTGTGAACTCCCGAACCGTGCTGTGAACCCAATGGAAGGACGGACCCCACCGTCCCCGGTCGGCCTGGTGAGCATTAGTCACAAAGCCCCAGCCGAGAGACGACCCGTCTCTGAACACATCGAGCGAAGGCTCTGGGAGGCGCCAAGGCACTACACCCCGAAATCCCCAAAGAGGAAACTGGCGACACAGCAACCGACACAAGGCCCCCGGAGAACGAACCCAACGATCGTAAGGCGGAAGAGGCACCTCCGAAGGAACCAAAACAGACGCCGAAGCCAAACCCAACCCGGCGGGTAGACCAGTACGGCGAAGGTCAGACTCCCGCACAACTGCTCGAGCAACCGCCGAGTGACCCGGAACCCTCTCAGAAACAGCCAAAGGAGAGACCGCCTCCGGAGAGAGAGACAAGAAGCTGTCCAAGAGGACCAAACAAAACCCAGCCAGGTCCGAAGCTGGGACGAAACCAGATGGAATGTCCACCAGTTCATCAGGAACCCTAGGAAAGTACCACACCCCTGGGGAGCAGACAAGCAGACTGATTGGGAGCCCACACCAGCCAGTCGTCGAGGTAGGCCAGAAAACCGAATCCTGAACAGACGCAGACAGGTCACCAAGATCCGGTAAAGATGCATAATGAGCTAGGTGCCAATACAAACTAGGGATGGGAAAAAAAAAGCGGCAAGCCTGAAGCTCCACCACCAACTGTGCCAGTCCCAGAACCCTGGAGAGAAATGTGCCAAGAAGTAACCCAGAGGCCCAGGAACACCATACAGGAACCCGGGCCCCAACAGAAGCCAGACCGGAAACCACAGTCAGCCGAAGAGGCAAAGAAACCAGGGCGCAGATGGAACAAGGCCAGAAGAATCGCAGATCCACAAAGTCCCGTGTCAACATTGAAACAGGCGGGAACCCCAGAAGAAAGGGGCGGATCGACCACGTCCAAGCGCACACACACCAAGATGACATGACAAAGCACAGGGGAAGAAGCCCACCCCGCCAGCCCTGAACCCCCCAAAGGGGGGTAGGAGCCGCCCGATGCCACCAGAGGCTGGAAGACAACAGAGCAAGCCGCTCCTTCCCCCCCCACCCTAGCGCCCCGTCAACAGAGAAGATATCGGAGCCCCATCAGAAAGAAAATTAATAATACACACACACAACAACAACAACAACAACAACATAGAGCGGATAGAGGTGTCTAGAGATGAAGTGGAAAACATGCTAAAGGAGCTCAGTAAGAACAAAGCAGCTGGCCCAGATGGCGTTTCACCATGGGTTCTGAGAGAATGTGCATCTGAGCTCAGCATTCCACTTCACCTGATCTTTCAGGCATCCCTGTGTACAGGAATCGTAGCAGACGTGTGGAAACAGGCTAACATAGTTCCAATCTACAAAAGTGGCAGCAGGGAAGACCCCCTCAATTATAGATCTGTTTCATTGACAAGTGTAATAGTGAAAGTATTGGAAAAACTAATCAAAACTAAATGGGTAGAACACCTGGAGAGAAATGATATAATATCAGACAGACAGTATGGTTTTCGATCTGGAAGATCCTGTGTATCGAATTTACTCAGTTTCTATGATTGAGCCACAGAGATATTACAGGAAAGAGATGGTTGGGTTGACTGCATCTATCTGGACCTAAAAAAGGCTTTCGACAGAGTTCCACATAAGAGGTTGCTCTGGAAACTGGAAAATATTGGAAGGGTGACAGGTAAGCTTCTAACATGGATGAAAAATTTTCTGACTGATAGAAAAATGAGGGCAGTAATCAGAGGCAATGTATCGGAATGGAGAAATGTCACAAGTGGAGTACCACAGGGTTCAGTTCTTGCACCAGTGATGTTTATTGTCTACATAAATGATCTACCAGTTGGTATACAGAATTATATGAACATGTTTGCTGATGATGCTAAGATAATAGGAAGGATAAGAAATTTAGATGATTGTCATGCCCTTCAAGAAGACCTGGACAAAATAAGTATATGGAGCACCACTTGGCAAATGGAATTTAATGTTAATAAATGTCATGTTATGGACTGTGGAATAGGAGAACATAGACCCCACACAACCTATATATTATGTGAGAAATCTTTAAAGAATTCTGATAAAGAAAGAGATCTAGGGGTGGTTCTAGATAGAAAACTATCACCTGAGGACCACATAAAGAATATTGTGCAAGGAGCCTATGCTATGGTTTCTAACTTCATTATTGCTTTTAAATACATGGATGGCGATATACTAAAAAAATTGTTCATGACTTTTGTTAGGCCAAAGCTAGAATATGCAGCTGTTGTGTGGTGCCCATATCTTTAAGAAGCACATCAACAAACTGGAAAAGGTGCAAAGACATGCTACTAAGTGGCTCCCAGAACTGAAGGGCAAGAGCTACGAGGAGAGGTTAGAAGCATTAAATATGCCAAAACTAGAAGACAAGAAAAAGAGGTGATATGATCACTATGTACAAAATAGTACAGTAACAGGAATTGATAAAATCGACAGGGAAGACTTCCTGAGACCTGGAACTTCAAGAACAAGAGGTCATAGATTTAAACTAGCTAAACACAGATGCCGAAGAAATATAAGAAAATTCACCTTCGCAAATAGAGTGGTAGACGGTTGGAACAAGTTAAGTGAGAAGGTGGTGGAGGCCAAGACCGTCAGTAGTTTCAAAGCGTTATTTGACAAAGAGTGCTGGGAAGACGGGACACCACGAGCGTAGCTCTCATCCTGTAACTACACTTAGGTAATTACACACACACACAGTGGAACCTCGAATAACAAATTTAATCCATTCAGGCGCCGTGATTGTCATGTGAAACAGATGTCATACAAAACGAATTTCCCCATTGACAATAATGGAAATCAAATTAATCCATTCTACCACCGAAAAACAACAATATGATATTCGATGTTGTAAATAATGGAGCAGCCTACCTTACATACACTGAACAAACCTTTATGATATTTGTTATTGTCCTGATAGCAGATTTTTGCTGGGTGATGATGGGCTTGAGGTAGTTTACAGAGGTTGAACCCCAAGCACAGATACCATAAGTAAGATAGGGATAGATAAGTGCATATTAGAGTGAGAGGAGAGCAGAGTAGGGTGCATAATATCTGATCTTAGAGAGTATACCAACTATTTTAGAAACCTTTTAAGTTATGTGTTGTATGTGGGTGCTGAAGTTGAGTCTCTTGTCTAAGTACAGGCCAGGGAACTTCCCATCATTTTTATTGCTAATGTTAACATTGTCTATCTGAAGCTGAATTGCATTAGTTGATTTGCTTCCAAATAAGATGTAGTAGGTCTTTTCTATGTTTAGTGTGAGTTTGTTGGTTGACACCCATAAGTGGACTAAACATTTACTAAATACCAGGCATCAAGGACCCGGATTCTCAAAGCAGTTACGCAAGCACTTACGAACGTGTACATCTTTCCTCAATCTTTGACGGCTTTGGTTACAATTGGAGCTCATAAACTGTTTAATAATTGTAAACAAAGTCACCAAAGACTGGGAAAGGATGCACAGGTTTGTAAGTGCTTGCGTAAGTGCTTTATGAATCCTGGTCCCGAACCCTGTTACACCACCAAAACCCCTACACACTAATATTGGTCCTGGACATATTAGCAAACTCAGCCATGAGAGCGGCATATTTCTGAATACCATGGGCACGAGGGTTGACCACAGGCAGGCTAGAC